CTTGTATTAAATTTACCTTCCATCTTAGGTGCGGCACCAGTTCCCTTGGCCGGTCGGAGTCTTCTTGCCATGCCCTGCTGAACCCAGCACACCAATAGTATTATGAATTCCAAATGAGGTTGTGAGTAAAATTCACAAGGATGTGGAGAGTGGTAATCAGGGATGGGAAATACCTAGGTAGTACAGTACCTAGGTAGTACTTAGGTACTTTTTCCGATACCTTACCTTACCTAGGTACTGGAAATTTCATTCTACCTTACCGATACCTAGGTACTTTTGGGGATACCGATACCGTCTTTATGTAGGTACTTTCCAAGGTTCTTTAAAAGCAATGTCCACCGAATGAAAGAGGAGAATACTCGTCACCACCAAACTATATTTTTCGGAATGGCTTTGTTTTGGCACCACGTGTGTGTCGTGGAGGGAGAGGGGGTATGGAGAATTCGTTCCGGCTGGCCTCCTGGTCAACCATCTCCCCCGAATAGACAAAGGGCGGCAGGCTGCGCCCCCTCCCCACCCCCGTCTCCTCCTGCCTCCTCCCGCCTACAGGCCACATGTTTGGGGGCCGCGACAGGTCCATTGCACAAAAGGCGTGCGCAGTGTGCAGCATCGGCCGTGTCCTTGACCGTGCATTTCTTGTAAGCGGAAAGGGAAACGTTTGATGAACCCACTCACATGAGCGAGAAAGAGCGGTCACTGTTATTGGCCAACCGAACGACACTGCTAAAAATTAATTGTAAAGGGGTGCAAATTGTTTGGTATTGGAGAGTGGTAACGTAAAATATTAGGTGCGTAACGGGGAAAGGTCATTACGGGGACATGCTGAAAAGTACCTACAAAGTACCTAAAAGTACCTAGGTAGTGGACCGAAATACCGGTACAGTACCTAGGTATTGATCTTTCCAAAGTACATTTACAGTACCTAGGTACTGATTTTGAAATTCTACCGGTACAGCACCTAGGTACTGAGGCAGGACTACCTTTCCCATCCCTGATGGTAATCTATTATTTATTATGCGCCCAATGAAAGTACACTCAAAGAGAACTATTCACATAGAGATTACAAGGGCCAGATTAAACCTCATTTGGAATTAATAATACTATTGGTGTGCTGGGTTCAGCAGGGCATGGCAAGAAGACTCCGACCGGCCAAGGGAACTGGTGCCGCACCTAAGATGGAAGGTAAATTTAATACAAGGTACGACGAGGTTAGTTTTGTCATTACACCGCAATCAGTTAAGCACTGAAAAGGGAAGCGCTTGGAATGCATATCCAACATACCTGGGCAGAAATCAAACTGAAGTCTAGGGACGATACGTC